AAGGGGAAAGGGCAGAAAGAGAGGAAGGGAGGAAAGGGGGAGGAACGGCAGAAAATTGGGCTAAAGAACCAAGATGTCTGATTGTATAGTGAAGTCCTCTGGGAGGGAAGCCCTGTCCCTAGGTGGATGGCAGGGTATGGCAGCCACGCCCTGCAGCAGGTAGGGACTTTAAGGTAGGTAGAAGAATTGATACTATTTGTCAGTGGATAGAAATAGTTCATATTTGGAAAAATTTCAACACCTCCCCTTTTCTGTTTTGGGCCTGTTTCCATTAGACAAAGAACTCACTGTAAGCAAGAAACTGAGGATGTTGTCACCTCATAATCCCAACCTAAGGACATTTGTTCTTGTAGGTATCTTTTTCACCTCATCCTCCAGTTAGCTCCAAGCCACCACACACCCAGGCGGCATGGGAGATAATGTAAACCAAGAGCTGATCGTGCTATCACATTCTTTGATAAATGATGCAGAGGATGTTAGGGCTGGTGTTAAACCTGAAAATTGGGAGAGAAAGACCACAATTTTAAAGCCAAATTTGAAGCAAGCTTTAATTAAATACTGGTCAGGATGATGGATTCTGGCCAGGGCCATTCTGGGATTCCCAGAAAATGGGGACAGTGGCCACCAGTCGCATTTTTACACAGGCTTAAAAAGGCCAACCCGTGAGGCCACAGAATTTCTAGTCAGGTCCAATCAGGAAACAAGCGTATATCCTGATGCATCTCCTACCTACGGGTGGTTGAGCACATTTGTGCAGTTGGGTCAAACAAACTTGTTTAGGGGTGTGAAAATATAGATAGCCTCAGCATTTCAGGAAGTGTATGCTTACAGGTTAAAGGCATTATGTTTTATGAATCTCTTAGGCAGTTGGTTCTCACACAGACCCCCTTCCCCTCCTTTCAGACACCTCTAAGCTTCCTTTTGAGAACCACTGAAAGAAATCCGAGCCTGTTGACCTACACTCACTCAGAGTTTGTTTCTGCCATTCCTCTGTCTTTGGGGCTTTTCCCGGCCTCGTGGTTGTGAAGAAAGCAGTGCAGAGCACAGCTATAAACGAGAAGTTGTTATATACTGAATGAGGAAATGTCATGACAACCATATTGTGTCTTAAATTGCATGCCTTAGGGAAAGAAAGCTATTTTTGCCCCTATCCTTCCAAGTTCTGAGTGCTAAGCAATGTGGAGAGTAAAGGGCGGATTTCCTTTTCTAGGTTATGGTCTTTTTAGAGGGAAGTCAGGGAAGGACCCTGAAGACAGGAACTGAGTGGAGACCCTGGATACACACTGCTTACTGGCTTGTTCCCAGGCTTATATTCAACTCAGACCCAGCAGCAATCCATGGACACCCCTCACCCCCAATGCCTTCAGAACCAGTGCTAACTGGGAGACTCTTAAACATAGTTTGGCTTCCAGCTTAAGATTCAGCCTGGTCCCACTCTGGACCACAGCTTCTGTGTACTGACCTTGAGGAAATACTCCCAGAAGATCCCACCTCAATGATTCTGGTCTTTTATTAATTTCAGCTGATTTTTCAGCCCCGGCTGACCTCATCCACTGAAGCACCTGTTTCACTTTTACACATTCCTGATTCTAACTTACCACACAGAGAGTCCTCGAGAGACTCTCAAACTGTTCCCTGAAACTTTACAAGCCTCAACTGCATTGCTGTCAGCATTATCTTTCAACAGCAGCTTATTAATCTCTGAGCAATCAATTATTATTATCAATTAATAAGAGAAATGTGTACAGATTATTTAGTATGAGTTTTACATTTCAAAAGGAAAGGAAGACTCTAAGAAACAGGTAAGGATGGGGATAAGCTCAGTAATGTGTGGTAATGTGCTTGCTCATGCAAACATGAGGTCCTATGATTGATCATCAGAACCCAATTATAAAAACAGCATGTCTTTACAGTGCTTTTATAACTCCAGTCCTAGGGAAGTAGAGAGAGGCATATCCCTGAGTCTCACTGGCTATCCAGCCTGGCCTGATGGGTGAATTTCATGCCAAGGTGAATTTCACACACCCTATATCGAAAGACAAGGTCTTGAAGAATGTCAAGAGGCAACTCTTGAGGAATGACAGCCAAGGTTCAACTCTAGCCTCCACATTCATGCACACACATAAGGGAACACTGCTTGCTGGCTTGCTCTGAAGGCTCATGCTCACTTAGATTTCTTCTGCAGTCCAGGATCAGTCTAGGGATGATGCCACTAACAGTAGGCTGGGCCCTTCTGCATCAATCAATAGCCAGGGTAGTCCCCTAAAGATATGCCCACAGGCCAGTCTGACCTCAATTCCTCAATCTAGGCTTTTCTCACAGATGACTCTAGGTTGTGTCAATTTGATAAAATTAACTAGGACATGGACTATGGTCTTGTATTTGGGCTCAGGATAAACTACATTTTACTCCCTTTGGAGAACCATGTTTCAAGTTCATAGTGTACATTTCTTCCTAGCTCCCAAGTTCTGTGACTTCATCTTCTTGATTCGAAAACAATCATGGTGCGAGAACTATTTATGCTAAGGAAAATGGCTAAGACTACTCATAGGAGTTAAAAGTGATTTTTCACATTTAGTGTGTGTGTGTGTGTGTGTGTGTGTGTGTGTGTGTGTGTAGCAGAGTTTTAGCAGAGCCAGTGTATCTAACATGAATTCTGGGGTGATGGCACCTAGGCTCTGAAGTAGCCTTTTGTAAATAGTGATTGTCATCTGAGGTTTATGAAGTCGCTCTTCCTGACGTATTCACAGAGACTTTGCATAACTCAGTCCTGAGGCACACCTGGCAAACTAAGAAGTCTTGTATGGGTGGGGATTGAATTGCGTAGGTAATGGCTCCTTCAGACAATTCCTAGACCAGATAAGAGGTTTTAGTATGCTGGAATTGACTTGCTGAACATGTAACAATAAAGGGGCTTAAGAGTCTGATCCAGTGCCTAAATTCATCCTTCAGTGTCTCTTTCTTTGATCATACCGCATAAGCCAGAACACCGACATGTGTGTACCTGTATACACACGCAGAGAAGAAAGCCCGTGGCTAAGCGTTTACCGAATGCTTATTGAGCAACTTATTTCCTAATTGTTATAGGCTGGACACATCTACAATGTAGCTGCACAGGGTACATGCTAAGTTTCATCCCAGTATCCCTTGTAGCTAAAGCAGGGCATGGGGCAAAGGGATAGAAAAGAAGCTCACTCAAGGCTACTGAGAATAGTCTTTTAATAAAAGAGATACACAAAAGAGAAAATATCCTTCTTTTCAGCAGGTCAAGGCTATGGCAAATGACCAGGAGAGGTGAGCAGCTAGTACATTGAGGCTGAGGCCTGGGTGATGATGGTGGTGGTGGTGGTGGTGGTGGTGATGGTGGTGATGATGGACTTGATATCTGAAACAAAATATAGTCTAATTTTCCAGCTATCTCTAATACTGTCTGAAGAAGTCTCCTGACTGGTCAGGTCTTGTAGCAACTCACTGAACAAAGCCTGTACCCGAATCGTGTTAGCAGTGTGTGTATGGATCACTGTGGATTCCGGTATGCTTCGAAGATTTCTCAGGCTATTCAGAGATGTACTACCTCAGCCTCTTATATTTCACAGTCATTAGTTCAGTGCTTCTAAAGAGGCGAGGATATTCACATAAGGTAGAGTTTACTTTCTGCAGTTTTTCACCTGCAGATTAAGTTTTCTGAACTTTGAGAAGGTGCCTCAGCCACTGTGGAAGACTGTGAGTAGGAGACTGTGAGCACCCCTGTGTACCTCAGAGACTCTGAGTCACAGGAGCCTTTAAAAGGTGATTTGACTTAGGAGGTCGAGGCAGGAGAACCATGAATTCCAAACTAGCCTGAGCCACATGATGAGCTCAAGTTCAACCTGGGCTACAGAACAAGATCCTGCCTCAGGAGGAAAAAGCTTTCCTTTGTTAATCCAGCTGAGCGTCAGGAGTATAGGTTGTGCCATGAAAATCCAGGTAGGGATATGGTAACATGTGGAGATCAGAGAACCAGAAACAGAGGTTCCGGCACGGAGCCTGGGCACAAGCAGGGGCTCCAGTTTGGATTCTGCACGGCGTTATTACACACTTTCTTAGGACGGTTCACAATTGTTCTTTTTAAAAAGATTCTCCCGCTCCACATTTTCAAGGAACAAATTAGAACAGCTGTGATTTTGACAAGGATCGCCCCCATTCTCTTCTCTGCCAGCTCCTTGTACTTTGTCAGTGCCATCTCCGGGAGGGCGGCGCAGTAGTGTTCACAGGTGAGAAAGAGAATCCAGCTGCTGAATGATCTCAAACAAATTGGAGCACCTCATTTACAAGAACTGTTTCATTCTGCGAATGCAGTGCCCCGGCTGTCCACTGGGCGGTGGGTATGGCCATGCAATGCAGAGGGCAGGCTAGCTGCGGCCCACTCTGAGTGAAAATGGATTTATAGGAAATGAAATGTTTTTGCTTTGCACAGCTCACCGTCAATCTGATGTTTTTTTTTTAAAAAGTGCAAGTTTCTAGATACCTGAACAAGCCTTTCTCTGCTTTTAACATGAAAAGGACTAGCTAGAGAGCAGTATTGAGAGATGAAAGAGGGCCTCAGAAGAGCAGGCAGCTGCAGGCAGCCCCACTGGAACAAAAGAGCAGGAAAAACGGGGGATCTCCTGGTGCTGGCAGCCCCATGGTCACTGAGGGAGACCCTGGGAGGGCGTGGAGACCACAGTGCTAGTGACCTGCCAGCTACGAAATTCCGCCACAGCTGCATAACCCATGGGATACTCTTTCAGTTCACAGGCGAGGATGCATCTGGTGAGACACTGCGGTGTTAGGGAGGGAAAAGAGAGTTCAGATCTGAGGATAAATAGATGTTAATTTTTAAGTTAGGACAACTTTTTTCTTCTAAAGTCCAATGAAACTGGACCTTCAGGAGGTTAGGCCTTCAGGGAGGAGCTAGCTTGCAGGAGGCTACTCTTCCATGGGAACCTCCTCCTGAGGGTAGGCTCAGTTCAGTTCTTTATCACGGTGTCTGTCTGTAGCTCACGCCCTTGAATGGCCCTGGAGTGGGACAATACAAGATGGGTGTGCTCGGTGAGTGGGGTCGGCGGGCAGTCCCAAAGAGGGAAGCACACATTACTCCTCCTTGGTTCATTCACTCACTGTCACCTGCCGGGTTCCAGGGACGCCTCGATAACACAGCTCCTCATGGACTTTGTTCTGAATGGGAGACACAGACGTGAGTACAGGGAGCATGAAGTGAGTGTTTAAGAGCTCCAGAGGCTGCTGTGCAGGGAGGAAGAGGAGAGTGGGCGGGGTTTTATTGAGTCAACTCCATACTCGATAAACACACCTTAAGGATCTTGTATGTCTTAGGCAGAGTGCTAGATCCCGGGCCTCCCGGCCAATGAGCCTGTGTTCTAACTACGAGGAGTCTCCCTATCCGGAAAGGTTAGGAGTCCTTTTGCAGTTTGGATTAGTTGCAAGAGCGTAATGAGATTTCTCAGGTTGGAGCTAAGAATGGCGTTTGCTCATGAGTCACAGATTGCAAGAATCCCAGTATGCCTGCATTTTGATTCCGACCTCCACCTCGAGGTCAGGTGTAAAAATTTCTATACGTAGAGATAGAGATCACTTGGGCTGCTCTGGGCTGTGTCAGCGATACAGAAAAAGAGGTGCAGCTCTGGAAGGGAAAGACCCTTGACTCTAGGATTTTGCCAGTCTCTAATTTAAAAGGTAAACAAAGAAAGCCTTGGGTGGGGAGAAAGGAGTCTTCATTCTTTGCAGCCTGTAGTGCAGTGGGAAGAAGGCAGCGGTTCGTCTGCATTTTCATGCGGGGAGACAAATTAGGCACCAAACTGTGCAAATGATTTACATTTACATGAGAGCCAGAGGTGGTCGGTGTGGGTGGAAGGTCCTCCAGGCGGGCGGGTGGGCCACAGGGAGATGAGCTGACTTCTGCACTGGCATCGTTGTGAAATTACACTCCCAGCTCGCTCACCCCCACAGCTTTCTCTTGGAAGATGAGGTTTTTAATGCTAAAGGGAAACTGAAGAGAGTGACACAGTTGCTTTCCCGAGTTGCCTCCATCCGCAGTGGAGCCTGACGCTTGCAGAGCGCAGAAGAGAGAGGTCTCGCCTAATCCATGGCGAATGGATCCAGTCTGCCGAGGGCAGCCTGCTGGGTGAGGTCACAGGGTGAGGAAATCCCGCCCTCGGAGCGGCTTTCTAAAGCTTGCGATTTCACTTGTACGTAAGTGACCCCACACTGTTTGATCAGCACGGAGGTCTGACTTCCGTGCAGCGTGAGGGCATCTTTATTAATTGTGGACTCTCAGAAATTCCTACCCAGTGAGGTAATTATAGAAGCGCTCTATTTGCAGAGGGTTCTCTGCCTTTTTAGCGTAGCGCAATGGCAGCGTTTATGTCATTGGTTCTCAACCTGAGGGTCCCGTCGCCGTAGGGATCCAACGACCTTTTCACAGGGGTCACCTAAGACCATCAGAAAACATAGATTTTTGCATTATGATTCACAGCAGTAGCAAAATTACAGTTATGAAATAGCAACGAAAATGGTTTTATGGTTGGGGATCACCACAAATGTCGCAGTGTTGGGAAGGTTGAGAACCACTGCGTTGGATCATGGGAATCATCTTTAATAGCAACACAAATGTTTGGTAACAGAGTCTCAGGGTCTTATCAGGAGAAGTTCTCAGACTACTGAAACGGTTAAAAGCACGGAAAGCCCTGGACAGTTTTGGCAGTTCATCCTGTGGCATTAGGAAAGCTTGTGCTATAAAACAAAACTACACACAAAACAGCAATCCATAAACACTAAAGGGAAAACATTGCAATTGAATCAGCACGATAAGAGAACATTCTGCCTTGAAAGAGCCAAAGCTTCATTTTTTCCCCCCAGATACTGTGGTGTGATATAGCCTCAGAATCTAGGGAATTTTTCATATATATGACAGAGTTTTTGAAAAATCCCTTCAAAAATTATTAATCAGAAACAGGATGCTGTCTGCACAAGACAAAAGACAACATAAGGACATAAGCACCATGCTCTGGGCAGGAGCTGGCACACCTGTGTTCATATCACACTAAGATGTTGGGCATCCCCCAGAAAGACTGCCCCCCAACCATGAAAAACCCAGTCCTGTCTATTATCCTTAAGAAATTCATCTCAACAGATTTAATGTAATGAAAAGGGGGAGGAAAGGAGAGGTGCGGCAGCCCATTAAGGAGATAAACCAAGAACATCAGACAGAAAGATTCAGAGAGAGAGACAGACACACACACACACACACACACACACTCACACACACACACACACAGAGACATAGGCACACACACACACACACACACACACACACACACACACACGAAGCCTTTATCTTGCTCTCTGGCAGCAGGTGATGATGTCAGGTTGCTAGGCAATCTAGAAGCAACGCCATTGACTTGTGAGCTGACATTATGCATCTCTGTATACCCCAATAGTCAGTTGAATGTTAAATAAAAAATAAACCTAATGAAATTGATAAAACATATTAGTAAAATAAAACAAAAGTATGAGAAGAAAATCCTTAGAACGTAACTGGGAGACGCTGAGACCCCACACTGATGGTCGGAGCCCTTTATCCTACCCAGCAAGACTCAATTGTGCAAAGATATCAAAATGACCCCCAAGTTGACCTACAAATATCTATTTTTTACAAAAGTGTGAGTTATTCACATTCTAAAGTGTGAATCTGTGTATTTTACACTTTCTTGTAAAATCTTTGCAGTCTTTTGAGGAGTGCATGTGAGTTATATGTGTATTTACCATTTGCAAACATTGTTCTTCATTTCTTTCTTAATGTTATACCGTTATCTCTTTTGGCTTTTTTAGTGGTTACTTTTTCCATTTAATTACAATGTTTAAAAAACTATTTTTTTTTGAAAGTAACATGTCCATGATTTTCTTGCCTTGAGAAAATTCCCAACACAGTTGGATCATGGTTGATCTTGAACGGGCACTCCTCGAATTCATGGCCCTTCATTCACCTTTAGCTATGTGTGAAGGACTGTGCTGTGGTTACTGAGCCCGAGCTTCTGTGTCACTGGCTCTTTCGTTGGTACTGCTTAGATCCCTCAGTGTGAGGGTTGGGAGCAAAGACCTTCCTGTACTAGGACTCCAGTGGGTTTTACTGCAAAACTTTGCACAGGCATCTGTAGTAGCTTACGCCCAAATCCACACTGTATGAGAGAGAACCCTTTATACCAACTTCCCGGTGCTGGATAGTACGGCTTATATTATTAATGCCAGTTTTCTGAACATAGGCCAGTTTTGTTATTTGTGTTTTCTTTTTTAAATTAAAATTCATTTATTTATTATTTGCTTTGTTTGTATGAGTGTTTTCCCTGCACGTATGTATGCGTACCATGTGTGTGCTCAAAACCCCTCCCACTGCCCAAGGTTTGAAAGTTCCTTTTTAACATGTAATAAACAGGCCAGCATCATCTACTTCACCATGACCCTCATTTATTCTGGAGGAAGGATGGGCTCCCCTTCCCTCAGAGCTCTTCTTTGAAGGAGGGACGGGCGCCCCCCCCCCCCCCGAAAATCTCCTCCTACCCCCCCCCCCCCCCCCCCCCCCAGCTTGACTGCTGACCAGGCAGCCACATGCTGCTGGCCTCCGTGAGCTTCTGCCATTCACTGGTATGTCAGAGAAGATGGCTCTCCCTCCTTTCTATTGCAGCTCTGACCACTGCAGTGCCCATCTGTGGGAGCAAGCAGCCAGCTGTTCCTGAAGCAGCCATTTTGTCTGCCCAGACAAGAGTAGGCTCCTGCCTCTGCCTCTCCTAGCTTTGGAGCTCTGAGTCAGCCTCTGTTACTGGCTGCTCACAAAGCAGCCACCGACTTGTCCAAGCCAGGCCAGGCCCTCATCGCTGCCCTGAGTTTTTTTGATCTTGCACTTCACCCTTTTCTTCCTCAAAGCATGTAAGTTTATGCAAGCAGGCCCAAGCTTCCCAAGAGAGTACCTGACAATTCCCGGGCTCCGCACAACCGCAGAACGACAGTCAAGGCCTCATGAAGCAAGTGAGAGGGACCACGGGGTTAGGGAAGCCTGATGTGACTCCCAGGGTCAGGCTCAGGCTTTTGTCACAATTTTCTCTCTTGAGGGCAGACTCAGGGGACTCATGAGAAATATGCAAACCTCCTCTGAGACCAGCCACTATGACCCGAGGATTCCCCATTAGATGTATCTCTTACAGGTCCCATCACCTTTTAACATTGCCACACTGGAACCAAACTTCCACCAGCTGAGCTCCTGGGGACGGACATATCCTAACTCACCGATGCTTACCTCAGGAAGGAGCAAGCGGCTGCTGCACCCATCCACACCAGCAGCAGGGCATTGTTTGGGGTGTTTCTGGGGCTCTGTACAGTCCACGGAACTGGTATTCCTTACTGTTCCTGCTAGCAGCACTTGTCTGGAGCAAAGTTATCTGGAAGTTAATGCGTTCCAGTTCAACTGCGCTTGAGTTGGGTCCCACGGCCTTCCCCCAGCCAGAGAGCTAAGTTTAAGGTGCACGTAATGCTCTGAGACTAGTGGACGTCCCTGAGCACAAGGACCTGCTGACCTTCCGATGAGGCCACCAAAGGCCGTTGCTCTTTAATTTCACCCGTGACGTGAATATGTAGTTACCAGGTGCTGGTTCCCATGCTGGAGGGTGCTCTGTGTGTGAGGTGAGAGTGGAATAGGGACATGCAGGTTCACCATGAGCGGAGAACAGCCACATCCCTGAGTTCCACGGTTAGATCAGCCTTCTCTCTTCGTCTCTAGCTCTCTTGGTTTCTCCGCATCAGCTGGGTAGTTCCCGAGCGGTCTGCACGCAGATAGGAAGGTGGAACATTGAGTGTATGTGTCACCTCCTTGTCTGTTACTGTTGGCTTCCCTTGAACGAGTGACGCAAGGCTTCTGTCTCAGTTTTTTTCATCCCCCAAATTGGAGATTACAAAAGCCGTAAGGCAGATCCAAAGCAGCATTTTAAAAAAGTTCATAATAAATTCATTGTTTTTCTTCTGGTACTTTCTATTCTTCAAACTAG